GGGAAGATCTCACTGGAAGAACAAATTCTTGTAAACATTTAAAACACTTGACTTTCTAAATTTCCATCTCTATGTTCCTACTAAAGCTATCTGAAAAAGGATGCTAACATGTTATATGGATTTGAAAAGATATAGAGTTCTGTCTTTAGAAGAAACCCTAGGGCTTTCTTTTTTCTAGTTTACTTTTTAGTCAGCAGACTTTCACTTTCATTTCATCAAGGAGCAGAACAAATAATTAACTTTTCATTTATGTTTCCAAGGGATCCTTTATCATCCTTCCAAGTACAAAGGGAATTTTAAGAGATCATTTTAGATCATGTTATAATCCAAGTCCTGGTCGTTTCCTAAATTCTTCACTGGATCAGAGAATCAAGCCTGGATGGCAGTACTCAAGAGTAGGTCATGATGGGATCTTATCATCACAGAGCCAAGATAGTCGAGACGATGCAAGATTTAGGCAGCACCACACACTGTGGAAGTATCTAGTGCCCTTCAGGGAGACCAAATGCAGCCACAATAGCTGTCTGCATAGCTGCAATGTCTTATCTGGCACAACAGAGTTTGAGCTCATTCATGCCACCATTTGTATCAGAATATCCAATCCGTTGAATAGGTGCATCAGTAGGAAATCAGCCAATGGTCCAATGCTTTGAAACCAGGCATGAAACACTATTCAAAGTCTATGCATTGCAGTACATCAGGAACAAGCAGAGAATAACATGGCTGAATCCAAGCTAATGGGGAAAGAGATTTGAAAGAGTTAGAGAAGGGAGCAGGGTCCCGGGAAAAGGGCTGAGACTCAGGGCTAGAGTCTGATATCCCTGGGAAGGATTGAAGTACTAGTCCTAGAACTGCTGATTAGAAGGGAGATGTCAGAGCCAAAAGACAGCCCCTCTGGCAGGGCCTTCATGAGATAGAGGGAAGTCAAAGACTGCAAACATATAAGGATTTGTTTTCATATATAAGACCATAGATCTAGCTGGCAGTATAGGAAAAGTGTGGTCACATCAGCTGTAGTTGGACGACTGACTCATGAGCTGCCAAGTATGACTTGATTTCAAGACCAATGGGTGACAGTTGCCACCTGTATTTATTAAAACTTAAATAAAACAAAATATCATCTCTTGTAATAATATAACTATAGTTAGAAAATACTTGTTTCAATTTTATTTGTACATATATTATTTGTGTGTGTGTTGTGTGTACTGGGTCACAATGTAAACTGTTTTTCTTATTAATGGTCATTATAAAATCTTTAAAAAGAATATTGATATAGGTAAAATATACTTAAGGACATCAACAAAATAATCGATTACTGATCTCATTTTCCAATAATTTTTGATAAGTGCAATTTTTTCACTGCTTTATCATGGTAAACTTACATGTAATGAACTGTGTATATTTTATGTGTACAATTTGATGAGTTTTGACATGTGTATATAATAATAAGCTTTTTAAGATTCTTATTAGTTTATTTACGATTATTTGTTTACAAGCTATCTCCCTGACATGGTTCTACATTTCTCCAGGGTAGTAGTCCTACCTCACTCCATATGTCTGCATCACTCAGCATAGAGTAAATTTTCAAGAAATATTCACTGACTGATGGAATTAATGAAAGAGCAACTGGATGCATCCTGCAATAAGCAGTCTGCATTCACACACACAGGCACTGGCACTCATACACACTCAAATACTACTGAGAACTAATCATCCTATCTAAAGCATAGTATAAAATTTGGAAGGCACAACAGATGAAAGTCCAGCTTCATGATATCCTTGGAATGAGGAGATCCTGTGACCAATCAGAAGGAGAAACACAAGGTATGATCACCTGGACTAATGGTGCAAGTGAGAAGGCATCAATGGCAGTCATTATTCCAGTAGAAATAGGAACAGGCTTTCAATATGCAATCCTGTTCTCTTTCTCATTCTTAGCCCTAGAGAGAATATATGGAATGTGGTGCCAAGCTGAATACGAGGGTACTGGGGCAAGGAGTGCCCACACACCCAGTATTAGCATTTATGGAGCTCTGGATCCTTCCCACCTCCCAGAAAATGGGTGGTGAATTTCAAGAAGCTTTTATCTTGCATCCCAGGTATTCCCTGAGCCCAGTGAGTGTCACCAAGAGAGAATATGCTATGAGTGAAAGAGGAAGAGAACACGTGTTTTAAGAGGGATGAAAAGTCAGAGTACAGCAAGATTCTGGTGTTTTAAAGGATGTAGCTAGATTGAGAGATGATAGAGCTTTGGGTTTCTTGGGCCTCTCAGCGCACAAACTGACACCCTCAGGATGAGCCCAGTGGCAAGATTTCTAAGACTGAGGAACCTAGAGAAGAAAGAAAAAGAAAAATCTCCTCGCCCAAATAGACTATGGGGTGTAAAAATAAGGAGGTTGCTTCTCCCAGGACGGACTCATGATTTCTGGTTCCGGAGAGACTTGGTCCCTTCAGCATCTTCCCCTTTCTTACCTGGAAGCCTGAGATGAATTTGTTCTAAAGATGGGGAAGTACAAGTGAGGGGACTTCACAGTGAGTATAGCAGAGTGAGATCCAGAGATCCAAGCTGCAGATCCAGAGTTGGGTATTGGATTCCTGGTGATTCTCAGCCCTCTCTCCTAACAGCTGGGCAGGAACTGGACATTTCAGTGGATTCCATTCCAAGCTCGGACTGTATTCTTGAATGAGTTAAACACTTATTTTTTGAGTGCCAGCACTGAACCGAATCTTTTTCTGAGAGGATTCTTGAAAGATGAGGCCCTGAGAGATTACGTAAACAGAAAATTCCCTAGGGTTCTCCTTGGGCACAGTTCATTTGTATTATCTCCACTCACAGTGAAATACCATGGGACATTGTGTAATTTTTTTGCAATCATAGATGGAATTCTGTGAATCTTCTCTAATTCAAAATCCTTCCCTACACAAAGGAAAAATTTTCTAGGCTCTGAGCTTGAGAAGGACCCAAGGATTCGTCCATTCTGTCCCTTCTCTCATTTTTAGAGCAGAATCAAGTGTGTAAACTTCATTCAAGCGGAAATCTGTGCATCCTTTATTTTAAATCCTCAGAAAAGTGGAAATTTTCACCCTTCTTCAGTATTTCTCTATTAAAATGGGTTACAATTATTGTTCTTTTGAGGATGTAGTGGTCACTGTTAAACAATGTTATCTGGTCCTAAAAAATAACAGGTTTGAGAAAATTTCTGTAGAAATTAAGGGTTTGAACCATATGAAAATACAAGGACAGATCCATATTTTTCTGAGGGATGCTAGGTTGAAATTACTCAATGTTATATTTTCTCATCAATGTTTATTTCTTTTTATATGAAAAATATTGTAACTTTATTATATTGGTTACTAAATTTTCTCCATCCACTTTTTCTTTTAATGGTAGCACTAATATAATTATGTATTTATTGCTCAAAAGTAATTTAAAAATTCTATCATTTAATGTTTTTTATATTTCCTAATATGAAGTTTCTATTGAATCTAAACTCCATTCTTTCCATTATAGATATTTAATATAACCTAACTTTTATTACAATTTTTTTTCTTTTTTGGATTGTCTATCAAATTGCTATTTATTCTAATGAACAATGTTGAGTTGGGATTTCATATGTTCTTACAACTATCCAGAGGAATGGGACTAATTTGCCCATTCAAGTTCTCTCTGCTGTGTTGCTGTTGCTTTTATTTTATTCAAATCAGTTTGCCGCAAATATATTTTCAATCTGTTAGTATATTGTAAAGAACATTTTATATTTTCCTCTTAATTGGATTCAAAAGTTAATTCCTAATTACTTAACTCTTTAGTGATTATTAGACTTTTCTCTATAATTTACAAGATTTAGTAACATGTCCACAGAATGGGATGGATGAGAAAGAAAAAAAATCAAGAAAGATTGAGATCAAATTTGGAAGATTGTGTAGATGCTTGTGACTTTTGTCCTGATAAATTATACGGAGAGAATTAGTGCTACTATTATTACTATTTCCATATTATAGAAAAGTATAGTGGAATTCCTATACATTTAGTGACTAATCTGAGGTCAGAGTTGAACTAAGCTACGACTCTAACCTTGGTCTAGTCCTAGGGCTCTCTCTCTTACCTCGTGCTGTACCATTTCCCAGCATGTGACCCTGGCTCCAGGTAAGTATCTACAAGGGAAGTTAGTGTTCTGATGCTGCAAGAAAATAGGTAATAAAAATAGGTAATATAAAATAGGTAATAGAAAGGATTTTTTTGTTGTGCTGACAGTAGAATAGTGATAAAAATGACCCTGTCCAGAGATTTAAAAAGATGAGTAAAAAGATATTTAGTGGAATAGAGTTGTTTGTTCCTTTATGTGATTGTTTTATAGAGAAAAGTTCTTCTTTGTGCTGTGAGTAATCAACTACGTTGACCCCTTTGGAACCTTTGTCATATATCCAGAGTTAGCACATATGGGAAAGACCTATGGAAGGAACGGGAAAGACCACTTCCATTTCAGATGTCAATTTTGAACACTTGTTCACATTCAGCAATAATAATTGGGGCAGAGGCGTTAAAGGAGCAGGTTCCCCGCAGAGAACTCGTGTACTATGATCCTCATTAACAAGTGTGCTGGCTGCTTTCACACACCAGCTTTAAGGCATTAATATTTTGTAACGAAGCTTATTTGTAAATAATATGTCAATAGAAAGCACTTGGCTGTCTTAATGTAACATGGGCCACTGGAGGGACTGATGCTAGAATCCAAAACATAGATATCTGATAGGAATTTTTTCCAGAGTCTGGAACTCTGGTATGGATCTGGGAAGATCTGTGCACAGTAAAGCGTCTAATATTATATGACTACAAGTTCACAATAAGAAAGAGATACGAACTGAGAGATTTTGCCACTAGCAACTAGTAGTAAAGTCTAACATTTGTGTCTTTATTCAATATCTTCATTTTTCTCTTGAGTTTTTATTTCCTTCTTTAAATAGACCTATCAAAAAAACGTTCTAGCAAACTTCCTATGTGATTGGGTATAGGATTGTTGTAGGGAGAGGAAAGAAAAATATGAAGTGAAAAATAAGATCATCTCTGAATGAGAATTTCAAGCAGATCCTGGGATGTTGATCAGAGGAATGAATACATCCTTAGCTATTGAAACAGATGGCTGATGCAGACAAAATTTTGTCTCTAAGGCCAAATGAGGACTTACCTCCAGTTTGTTAGATTTTCAGAATTATCAAAATGTGGAAGGAGATAGCTTAAGACGAAGAGCAGATATGGGGCCTCATCTAGAGGCACTAGGGCTTCCATATGACATTGGCATCTACAGTCTCTGGACAGAAGTTAATCTCCCCAGTACTCTCCTGAAGGCCTCCATTACCTCCTTGTTTCTCAGACTATAGATAAGTGGATTCAGTACTGGAGTAATGATAGTATAAAATAGAGAGAGGATGTTGTCCTGTTGAGGTCCATGGTATAAACTGGGCTGGATATACATAAACATGGCAGTCCCATAGTACATTCCTACCACAGTCAGGTGAGAAGAGACCATGATCAGAGCTTTCTGCCTTCCCTCTCCTGAGGACATGTGGAGTGTAGCAACTGGGACAAAAGTATAGGAGGCAAGGATAGCAGTAAAGGTGGGTATGAGGAAGGTCACACCCGTCATGTACACCATGAGCTCACATCTGGAGGTATCTACACAGGCCAACTTCAGCAAGGGTGAGTTCTCGCAGAGCAGGTGTTTTGTTTCCTGGGACATGCAGAAAGGAAAGTGCATGGTATATGAGGTGTGTATCACAGCATTCAGGACTGCCAGGATCCAAGATGTGGCCATGATTAGCCAGCAGATCTTTGGCCTCATAAGGACCATGCAGTTCAGAGGATGATAAATGGCTACATACCTGTCATAAGCCATGAATGCCAGCAGGAGGTCCTCTGCACCTCCCAAGGTGAGGTCTACTAACATCTGAAAGGCACAGTCCCCAAAGGAGATGGCGTTCTCCCCAAGCAGATGATCCACAAGTGTTTTGGGAGTAACTACAGATGCAAACGCCAAGTCCATGAAAGAAAGCTGGCTGAGCAGGAGGTACACGGGCACCTGGAGCCAGGCATCCATTGCAGTGACCGGGAGCAGCAGGCCATTGCTGGTCAGGGCCAAAATGTACAGGGCTGAGAGTGTGACACACAGCAGCTCAGGAGACCTGCTGTCATTCAGAATCCCCACCAAGATGAAGTCACTTCCCAAGGTGGAGTTCCAGAGCTCCATTCTGTGCTTCTTTAGTTATCTGAGATTTTACAAAATCTAGGTAAGGTAGGTCTGATGTGATCACTGGGGACTCCCTGGATTTACAGTGTTACAGCCTTTGGTCAGCAGGAATTAACTGCTCAGTTTATGGCACCATATTATACTCTTTCATTCATCAGTTAACTCCCCAAGTATGTACTGATCACTTATTTTTAAAACAGCACATTTCTTCCCCGTTTCTGACATTTCCTTCAGTGTTAAAGGAGTACCATTTGTGCAATAAATTTGGACTTGTCTTTGCCTCATCATCCCACTCACTTCTTCTGAGAAACAGGGAGCAAATTAATGGGAAATATTAAAGGGAAAATCTGGGCAAATACTATGCAGCCTCTTTCTCTTCTTTTTGAGAGTTGAAAGGTCTTTAAGGAGGCTTGATACACATCCCCATCTCTCTCCCCCAGGTTTTGAACCAATTGAGAAAGTTATTTGTGCAGACCCAAATATTATTTCTTTTTTTCATAAAGCAAAAACTGAAGAATGTAGCTTATAAGTCAGCGGACAATGGGATCCCTAATACCAACCCCCAAATGGATATAATTATCTTTGCAATCAAGGCAATGCAGGGCCAAGTCAGTACTTCCCACAAAGAAGGGCTAGTGGGACAGGGGAAGAGAACAAGCCAAGTAATGTCATTGTCTTTCCCCCCAAAAGAGAGAAATTTATTCCCGCTTATTCTCCAATTTGATTATATTCCTCCCCCTCCCTTGGGAAGAAATAAGGGGAGAGTCAAGACTAGGTATCTTACCTCCCCTCTCACCCCTATTGTGTGCCAGGCACTATGATAGTTCCCAAGCACAGTGGGATACCAGTCACACTCTTGTGAGGAACATTTAAAAATGGGTGTAATTACAAATTGTAAAATGTATCACAAAGGGAAAGAATAGACAGTAATTCTCACATAGATTGGTAATTAAGGAAAATCTCTGAGAGAGTGAATTTTAAGCTCAATTTGAAAGATAAGCATAAATTATCCAAATGAAGAGAGGTGAAGAGATATCAGGCAGAGGATACACCATGTGTAGAGTCTCCAAAATAGAAAAGAGCTTATAATTTCTGAGGAGCTAAAGGAAGCCTGATGAGGTGGGTACTACTTGAGATAAATTTGGAGAGAGACATGCTCCAAATCATGCTTGGCCTTTTAGGGCATATGGAGTGCAATGCAAAGTTATTTAATACATATGTATACACAGGTGTGACGTCATGGAATTTATATTTTAAAAAGATAAGTCTTATAGTTGTGTGGAGAAGTAATAGGTAGAAGGTAGATAGGTATAGGTAATAGGTAGATAGGTAATAGGTAGAAGTAGTACTAAAGGTAGAAGATGGACAAGAGTACACAGAGGAAGATATATGCAGAGATGATTGTGGTCATCCAAGTGAGATGGACCAGGGAAATGGCACAGGTATCATGGATTCAAGATACATGTTGGAAGTATAATCAACAATTGGTGATCTGATCGACTAGATATTTTCAATGGAAATCAGGCAGAAGGAGCCAGTTTGGGAGGTGATGAATACAAGAATTGAGAGTGTTTAAGGAACTGGAAACTCTCAAGAGGATGAAGATTATTTGCTCAGCGTGAGTAGATGAATGGGATAGATGGAAGGGCACAAGGTACTGACTTAGTGGGAAAGCATGGAATGCAAGGGCTGTTTTCTCTTGCAAAATGCATAGTTTGCTGATTCTACATCGTTGTGTCCTTCTTACTAATACCATCCTAGCCCTCATTCTCTTTTTGTTGAAATTTTGTGATAATGATTTATACCTCATATTTTGACTTATCTAAGATGTTGTGAATAAAACACAATTCAAGTAGTCAAAGTCCCTGGGCTTTATATTATATCTTTCCCACAGATGACATGATCTTATTTAAACATTTTGATGCTCAAGTTTCTCACCTATAAAATGGGAATAATATTAACCCTACATGACTATCTCAGAGATCTCTTATGAGAAGTTCTACACAATTGTCATCATATTTTTTTAATTTTTAAATTTTTTACTTTTATGGCTGTCATCACAGAGTAGAATCTTAATTTAAGTATTTAATTTGCTAAGTATGAGTAATTCTCTCGTTGCCTTCGAAAATCTCTCTTTGTCTTTGACTTTTGACAATTTGATTGTGATGTATCTCAGTGAGGACTTCTTTGGATTATTTCCAATGAGCCCAATTTTGGATCCATGGGCTTCTTGAATTTGGATGTTGATTTCTTTCTCCAAATTTGTGAAGTTGAGGAAGCAGGAGGAATGTGTTAAAGGAGTGTAATTGAGAAGTTGGAATCAGATAAAATTATGGTAACTTTATGTTTAGACTGGAGGCAAGGAGGTGAGGATGGATACAAATGTTTATCAATTAATAAAAGGAGGAATAAGATCAAGGGAAGCTAGTAAGGCAGGGCTGGTGGATTTGAGAGTGATTACATCTGAACTCAATAATCTCAGTTAAGAAGGAAACATGATTATCTGCTAAAGGCGCAAAAGTGAAGCATGAGAAGAGGGTGAACTTTTGAATGCTTGGTGAGAAGAATAGGAGATGTTGCTAAATAAGTAAAATCAAAAGGATTTCTTGATGGAATTGAGAGATTAACTAAGCTTGAAAGGCAGGAAATATCACCAATGTTTTGGGTTGTGTGCAGATATTTTTTTCTTAATCCTAGGTATAGAATCAGAGAAGGTGGGTGGCACTGACGTAAAGTTGGAGATTTGTAAAAGAGGTAGTATGAGAGACAAGAAGTGCAAGGGAACTGAGAGAATTAGTGAGAGAACCTTCAAAACTCAACCATGGAGTTCAGGCTGGATGAGGATGAAGAATGATCTAGAGAAGATTGAGTAAAAGAAATAATAGAAGGATCAGGAAACATTTACTACTTTTGAGGTTGAAAAATTGTGGCAAAAACTAAGACATGTGAGAATTGGAAGAGCAGCTGGTTATAATTGAAGAGCTGAACATGTTCTTCAAAGTCAGAGGTGGAGCAGTAATCAATGGGGACAAAGCCATAGTGAATCCATTGGAATGGGTAACTTAAATTGTCTAAACATAAAAGTTACTTGTTATAGCCAAGACAAATGACAGCAGTAAGGAATCAGAAAACTATGATCTAAGTGCCAAAGTCTTCAAAAGATATGAAGGAATGACCAGAGGGCTGGGAGTTAAAAATGACAAGGAATAAAATTGCCTGAAGGAGTAGAAACATTATATGAGAATAGAGATGTAATGGTTTGGAAAGTGCTAGTGGGAGACAAGGAGAATGCCAAGCCCACCTCTCAACCCCTGGATAAGTAGAGTGTTGTGGAGTGATCAGAATCCACCAAAGAGAGCCACAGAAGTACAAATTTCTTAAGGAAGAACCAGGATTTAGTTTAGTCAAGGAAGTAGAAGGAGTATTCTGCAGATAAAGGATATAGAAATGTTTGTGTAAGAAGGACCAATGGTTTCAGAGAACATAAAGAAATGTTCTGAGGTAAGAAAGTGAGGGTGGGTGTGCAGTGTGAAATTGGGTCAAGGGAGAGCAAACACAGAGAAATATGAAAAGAAGAGTAGCTGAAATGATAGCCATTTATAATTTAGATGGTGACCAAGGATATTAGGAATGTGAAGCCTGGTGAGTTAGTTGAGCTCCAGGTCATGATTTCCTATTATTTCCCAAATTAGGCCTTATTTCTTCCACAATCCTGTCAACTTCCTTGGAGGTTGGATTACTCAACCAATGAGTAATTACTAATCCCATGAGAAATAGATTAATCCTCATCTGGATTACTACAGCAGTCTCCTAATTGATGCCCCTAGATTCTGTCTTATCCCCTGCAATCCACTTTCCACACTGTGGTGTTACAGAAATCTTAACATTACAACTCTGATGCTGCTCTCTTACTTAACATATTTTAATGACTGCCCTCAAGACCAGCTCCAATCTTCTTGACATCCTATTTCAACAAAGTTCATGATGTGTCCAGGCAGACCTATCCTGCCTCATTTCTTACTATGACCCCTAGTCTCCCCACTCTCCTGCATCCTTCTCCAGACGCCACTTCCCTCCATAATGATCAATTTGGAATTCTCCAGGAAGTTGTGTTTTCTGTTGCCTTTGCACCTGCATCTCCCTCTGACTGGAATGCTCCATTTCTTTCTTCTCTTCCCATCCCTCTTGCCCTTGATCTTTTTCCTTGGTTAAACATTAGCTGTCACTATCTCTTAGAAGCTTACTTGGCTTCTCTTAGAGTGAACAGCTGTCCTAACTATTGTACTCAAAGACTCTTATACTAATCCTTAAATTTAAGGATTGTGTCTTACTCACAGTGTTTGTTCAATGTATGCCCCAGTAGCTAAATTACAGAATATCCTTAATGATTATTTGTTGAATGACTGAGACCAACATTTGTGAGGTGTCCAAGACCTAGGGTAAAGGTAACGTTTCCTGACTAGGGTCCTGCTCCTATTTCCTAACCATTCACTTACAGACACCTCGTAATATCCTCCCAAACAGAGATGAAATCCTTACCTCAGATGGAGAGCAGATTGCTGGTAGATTTCACTGCAGGCTGTGTAGCTTGTTTGGTGGTACCAGGAAGCACAAACAGAAATTGGCAAGGAAAGGAAGTGGTTTTTGCACCAGTACTGGGGAGGATACCCAAGGTAAATGCTTAAGCTTTTTAAAATACTTTCATTCCCACTGGGCTCTGGAGAAAAAGCCATATAAAAGAAAAATCCAAGAAGGGATATGGAAAGAGGACCTAAAGGAGAACCTGCAATGCCTGGCCTCTGTTTTCCCAGCAGTGGCAGTGAGCTAAGGCCCTGTCCTTGGGGATGGCTCTTCTGCCTCCCTATGTGATGACAATGACTTTGTCCTTCTATTCAAAAGCTTTATTTAAAGGGAAATCTCTCCCTAAATGACATAATCCCTCTCTAGAAATGCTGGTCTAGGAGATAGGATTTTAATAAATCCCCTGGGCTTGATTCCTGACCTGTCACTTCTGCTTTCTTCTCTCAGTAAATGACTCTGTGCCCAGATGGAACCCACACCTGTAAAGGAAACATGGAACTTTCCACATCCCTCACAGTGACTACACCTCAGGCTAGTACTACCCATCTGCCCCAAGTCAAGGGGTACAGTGAAGACCCTATGGGGTCTCAGAAGAGCTGTAGAAGCAGGACTCTCTTAGTCTCTCCCCAAGAGGTATTCCTTTCATCGTACATATGTAAGTATCTCAGAGAAAATAAACTGAGGCTGATGCATACAGGGTTTCCTGCTTTTTTTTCTCTCCATTGTTCTGTTTTTTCTTTTTAATTTTCTCGTTCAATATTTATTGAACTCCTACTACATGCTAGATACAAAATGCTAAATTTTTCAGCAATGAAAAAAATAGACAACTGCCCCTTCTGACATGAATCTTACATTCTGGGAGGAAAAACAAGAAATAAGATTTTATAAATGTTATATTGTATATTAGAATGTTTCAAGTGCTTTGGAGCTAAAAATCAAGGTAAGGGGAATCGGGAATATTGGGAGTTATTGTTATTTAAATAGGGTGATCAGATCAGACTTTACTGACAAGGCGACCTTTGAGCAAAACTTGAAGAACATTCTAGGCAGAGAGAATTGGCAGTGAAAGGGCTCTGAGGTGGTACTGAGGAGGGCAGCAAGGAGATCAGTGGAGCTGGATCAGAGTGAGTGAGCTGGGATGTGTTAGGAGATGAGGTCAGAGAAGTCAGTGGAGTAAACATATAGAGCCATTTAAGGATTTCATCTTTTACTCTAAATGAAACTGGGAGCTATCGAAGTGCTGTGAGTGGAGAATCAAAATAATTTGTTTCTTCATTTAGGAGGATTCCTGTTTACTCTGTTAAAGACGTTAGAGGGACAAGAAAGGAAGCAAGGAGACTAGTTAGGAGGATACCGCAATGACACAGGAGGGAGCCAATGGATCAGAGGAGTGGTGGTGGAAGAGCTGTTAAGAGATATGATTCTGTATATATTTGGGGAAAGAATGTGTATATTTATAAATGTGAGTATTGTCATTTTGCCTCTGCTCAATTAAGCCACATGATTAGAGGTCTTTGCTGATGGCCCCTATTTTAATCCATTAAAAATTCTCTCGGGGCTAGCCCAGTGGCGCAGCGGTTAAGTTCG